TTTTTGCAGAAATTTGAAAATCTGAAAAAATTTTAGCTGAGAATGCCATTCGATTGGAAATTTTATTACGAATTCAACGGTGTATGACATTCCACATTTTGACCATTATTTCCCAGAGTTTCGACACAAAACCCAAGTTTTAAATGTGTTTTTTGGGGTCTTGGAGATTTTTCAAACAATATCATTTCTGAAGAGTCTTTTTGTTGTAACTTTGCCAAAACAAGACCCAAAGTCAAAAGAGTTGCAGTTTTGAACAGCTGGCAACCTATGCCATCCATCCCTAGTCGATAGAAAACAATTAATTTAGTTTTGACACAAAAATGGAATTTTGAAAAACAATTTTTGAAAAATTTATTTATGTCCAAATTTCTGACTTTTTTGTAAGGGGGTACATCATCATTTTTTGCAGAAATTTGAAAATCTGAAAAAATTTTAACTGTGAATGCCATTTGATTTTATTATTTATATTTTTAATTTTAGCATATGCCTTTTCCTTTGAAAGTATTAATAGATAAATCGTTTTCCCTTATTTATACCACCATGAGTATATTTAACAAGGAAAATCTTTTAAAAATAAACATTTAAATAACAAAGGTGGCTTGAAACTAAACCACCTTTTATGTTTTGAATAAATAAAACAGTTAATAATTTGTTTACTCCAAAACGATTTTGTTTCAAGAAAAATTTCTCTAAACATCAAGGTGAAAAATGGAACTAAGGCGAGGTTTTTAATTTAGGCCAGCAAATTTGAACGCGGTTTTTAAGTATTTCCTAGGAAATTACATTTTAGCTGGGAAAGAAAAATAAACAGGGAGATATGCCAAAGGCCATCTTTAAAGTGGACCCCCAACAGATGGTACCCGTTCATGTTGAGCAAAGTATCCGGCGATAAGCATTTCAATCATCATTTCATTTAAAGCAATTTAATTTGGCCGCTTTTTGTTACCCAGGCCCCAGGCACCCTGTTTCTTTTCTTTTTTTTTGTGTTTTCAGGACGTGGCAGCAACGAAAATATTTTGCAGGCAAGTGAAGAAAAATTAGCAACAATAAATTGAACGGAAGTTGCTGCTCAAATTGAAAGTACGAGCTGCGGGGAAAGCACAAGCTGCAAGGTATTCCCCGGAACAGGAACTGCTAGCCCTGGAGAAGAAGAGGCGGCGGTGGGGAGGGGTGGGTGTTGATTTCTCAGTAGGCGGTGGGCGTGGCATGTTTGTCTGTGGCTGCTACTGTGGCCATACGGTCAACATACACGTAAGCGAATAGGAATGGGAATGTGAGTGTGAACGTGAATTTGTGTGTGGCTACGTGTTCTCCGTCTGCCTTTTTCTTTAGCTTCTGACTGCCTTCTGTCTAGATTGAAATTCCAGACCCTAGCCAAGAAGGGGCGTGGCACGCCCCATGTGCACAGGGGGAAAAACTAGCAGCCTGAAAGTCGTAGCCTGCACAAATATTCGATATTAAAAAAAAAAGATTTGTTTAAGCTGTGGACTTATAAATCGGGGTCACTAAATTCTCATTTCGTCGAAATATAGTTGGACTATGGAAAACTGTACCATAAATTAATTCCTTATGGAATCCTTAAGAATCGGGGTCACTAAATTCTTATTTTGTCGAAATTTAGTTGGACTCTGGAAAACTATACCATAAATTAATTCCTTATGGAATCCCTAGGAATAAAATTTACCCTTAAAATAGTTAAGTTGTAAACCCAAAAACGTTTATATTTAAATTGGTTTTGTAAAACAAATTTTCTGTTATATTCTACACAAAAATTCGATTGAAACATATGAACTTATGGGCTTCCAAGCTTTTAAAAATATTAAGTATACGCCAATCCACTACAATATGAATATTAAAACAATTAATATTTGTGCGATATAGTTTTGTCCCCTTTAAAGGCTCTCGTGAGTTTTTCTACCTGTAAGGACATTTGTGAATGTGGCGGTGGAGCATTTAAGCTCCGACCGCAGGCTGAAGGACGAAAACGGGACAGACGTTGCATACAGATTTTCAATTTCCATATCGTGTTGCCTGGCTGCTGTCTGCTGCCTGCAGCACTTCTTCCTCTTCCATCGCTTTCCACCCAGCTTTTCCTTTCGGCAATTTCCGCTGCAAGTGCCGAAACAAAGGAAAACAAAACATAACAACGCAGCGGCAAACTAAACGTAACTACAACAACCGCAATAACCAGAAACAAAACAATGAACGAACAATGAAACGACAAATGAATGAATGAATCGAGTTGAGTTGAGTGACTAAAGAACCATGCAAAAAAAAAGCTCAAGATTTCGATGGACATATCTCCAAACATTTGCTTTATTTCAGGAGGAGCTCTCACAATTTTCACAAAAAAAAAATGCAAATCCTTTCGGATTAATTTATATAGAATTTAAATGCAGCGCAATATCTATTGTTACACCAAGTTTTTAAATCGAACCCACATTTAAGAAGTTATTGGCAATTAGGTTTTAAATATGACTTTGCTGCATTTTTGAAAAACGGAGAACATGTAATAAATTTAAGAGAGCGGAAGGGAGCAGAAGGGAGCGTTAGAGATGTGCCGCTTGCTCTTAGCTTACAGTGTTGACGCTGCCGTTCGGCAGATGGCGCCACCTAAAAAAAAAAAGAGTTTTCTTTTAATTTGTGGATGGTAATCAAACATGTCTAATTAAACGATTTCGCCTTGATTTTCCATTGCAGGTGGTGAGGATGTCGCCTGCTGAGCAGCTTGGTCACTTGGTCGGAGGATCGGATGCCTACCAGCTGGCGGCGAGCACTGGCGGAGGAGCAGGAGGTGGCGGAGGAGCCGCAGGAGTGGGCGGAGTAGTTGGCGGAGGAGGCGGTGGCCACGGTGGAGATGCGGCGGACAATGGGGGCGAGAAGATGAAAGACATGCCCGACAAGTATCTCATGGCGATCGCTCACTTCCTCAACTGGCACGACAACGAAACGGTGGACATGGAGCGACTGAGCGGTCCGATCCTGAAGTCCAGCATCAAGTCGGTCTACTGGCTCTTCCTCATCCAGTACGCAGCCCTCGCTTTCCTCGGCGTTGTGCTGAACATCATCATCGTGGTGTACATCATGTACCACCGACTGTACAAGGATGTGACCCATGCGTTCATCATCAATCTGGCGCTCTGCCACTTTGTGCAGTGCGCCCTCGTCCTGCCCGTCTCCCTGATGGTCATGCTCATCCAGAATTGGATCTATGGCCAGTTCTTGTGCTTCTTTCTGCCCATGCTGCAGGTGAGTTTAATAAGCTTTATTACCTTACCTTTTGATCCCGAACCTGCAACTAAGACACTTTGTGTGCTATAAGTTGGTTATTATATTTTGGGTATTAAATCCTACGGCTTCGCTTATAAAAATTGAAATGTTTTGTGTTGCTTAGAACTTGTTAAATGAAGACCATTCTTCAAAAGGGTTTTTTTCAATTAAGAATAAAATATTGTTAAGCCCGGACTTTTTTAATAAGGTTCCTGTTCTTTTTATTTTTTTATTAATATATTTTGTGAATAAAGTCCTTAGAGATTGTAAAGGTTTTTGTACTGTACGAGTATATTGCTCATAAATTATTACTGTTTAAAAGGGATTTTTTGTACAAAGAGCTGAGATCTTTGGTCATATTTGTACAACTTTTAGGGCTCTCAAAAATGGTGTAATTCATATCGCTTATGGCCCAGTTTTGTGGCACACCCTGGCCGTTAAGTTCAGCCCTGCCAGACTATACTCCATAGCAATCACTGTTAACTACAGCTGTGAGCTATATTTATCCCATTTGGCTGAGCGCGGAGAAGATGGCATCCGGTCTCGCTCGATTGAGCTGGTGTGCTGGTGTCCTGGTGGCCTGGAAGCCACCGTGTGATTGACACATTGAGTCGGGCGGATGGGGACGAGGCTTTCGGAGTCGGAAATCACAAGCAAATAGAATCGTATACTTTCATTCGATTTGATTCGCCTCCGTCTGTCTTTTTGCGCCGCTTTTGTGTGGCGAAAACAAATGCGACCATGGCAAAAAAGGACCTGCGTTCTTGACGAGATTGGGGCGGGAACGAGAAAGAGAACAAACCGCCTGGCAATTCGATTAGGCCCGGCGTCCGTAGAGCAGACAAATGATTACATTTACAACCTTGACGCTGCAGGAGATTCTATTACGGGGCAGAACGGCGTGGGAATGGAGTGGCGGTCGGAACGGGATATGATTCGATTTGATTGCTATCACAAAGGGCGACAAATAGCTGGCGCACACAGGCACCCTCATTTCTTACTGCCTGGTCACGTGTACACATGTGGGTGAACTCCTGCTTCTGTTCCACTTCCTTTTCCTCTGCCAGGACCCCTTCTCCATCGCCGCCTAATGGAATGATTGATGGGTGGCTGCCGAGGAGCAGGAGATGCACACTGAGCTGCTAAAAGTCTGACAAGTAGTCTTAAATCTGCACCTTAAAGACCTCCAATAAAAATACGCAATGGTAACACAAATTTGCATTACATAAGCTTCACTAATTGAGAAGTGGCTATAATAGAAATAATAAAGCTGAAAATAAGAATCTATTTAATAAAAAACAATCGGAAAAATAAATGAAAAAAAAAATTATAACTTAGCTTTTTCTTATTATTTTTTTTTTTTTTTGTTATTCGACATAAAGAAATAGTTAAATATTTCAGAACAACGGTTTAAATGTCATCAAAATCGGACGACTATGACATAAAGCTACAATTAAAATCGGAAAACGATATCGTTTAGCTGCCATAAGAACTATCGAATAATTGAGCTGCAAATCATCATATCTTCAATGTTTTTAAACATTTACGCAAGTAAATCATAATCGCAATGTTTTCAAGAATATTTAATTTTTGCCAAAGCTGCAAGGGTATATAAACTTCGGCTTGTCGAAGTTTGCTGCCTTACTTGTTTTTGACATCAAATTCATATAGAAAAGAAAAAAAAAAAGTTGGCAGCCCGCAAAGCTAAATTCATTTTGCAACCATCTGGCAGCTCTGCCAGAAGAACCACATTTTGACGCTGCCACAGTGACTTTGCCATTTTGAAGTATTCCAGCGCAGGCAATTGCAGAACAAAAAGAACAAAATTTGTTAATTGCAGAACAAAAAGAACAAAATTTGTTAATTGCAGAACAAAAAGAACAAAATTTGTTAATAGTGCAGGACCGTGTTTATGGTGGCTTGGCAACTCTTTTTTTCTCCAGCAACAGTATTTAATTTTTTGACGGACTGAACGCATACGCGCATGCGCACACTTTCATTTTTCCAGGAAAATCAGCAGCTAAGCAGAAATGGTAAGCAATGACGCCGAGAAACACGCTGTCGGTTTAATGTGCAACGTGTTCGTTAATATATTTCACAGCCGAAAGAAAGCAAGTTGAAGGGGGTTTCTAAGGCTAAGAATCGCCTGCCCCAGAAGAGAATTCTAGAACGAACCCAATGCAAGGCAATTGTTCACCAGGTCGGCAGGTTGACTCCTTTCGGCAACGACGGCCAGGTGATACCGTTCTGCACCCTCTGCTATAACTCCTTGGTGAAGCGTTCAGAAGCCGCGGTGGCTCAGTCGGAGTTCAATGCCCCGGGGAGCAGCAATTCCTCTCACGGAGATGTCATCCAGGATACTGAACCAAAAGTGACCAAGTATGATGTCGACTTAAGTGCCTGTGTGGAGGAGTGCCGCACCGACATGGAATGGACCTTTGGCGAGATATACGATGTGCCATCCGCAGACGCTCAGATCGGTCCCAGCACAGCTGAGTCTCAATCCAATGTGCCAGATCAGAACTCGATTATGGCCCAAAATCAGGACTCAATGAGTTGCTTCAGCCAAAATAGTAATCCTGGCATTCTCCCCTCAAATGGTGAAAATGGTAATTCCATGTGGAGTGCCAGTAGCGGACCCTGGGCGATCAGGGATCATGGATACTGGAAGACAGAGGCTTCGTCCAGTGATTGGCAACCGGACAGCTTTTACGAGAGCACCTTGAAAGCAATCAGGGAGCGGAAGCACCCAGATTCATACAACCGAAGCCCGGAGGAAGGTGAGCCTAAGCGTAAAGAGTGCTGCTTGCGTTTGATGGACCAATTAATGCCTGGTCGGGCCGGTCGTGTCCAGGGACAGGAGCAGCCACAACCTGAACCTGAACCCATCGCCAGCACCAGTTCGGGCAAGCAGGCTGACCCGAACGGTTGGAAGAGGGAATACATTGATGATGATGATGATGATGATTATGATGATGATGATGACGGTGACGGTGACACGACGACAGCGTCGGAGGAAGAAGATTTCATGGATTTCGAGAACATCTCGCAGGACGTAAAACCGGTGGAATCGGCTGGCAAAGAATCCGACATGGACTCGGACTCCGAATCGGACTCCAACTTCGAATCGGACTCCAACTCCGAATCGGACTCCAAATCCGACTCCAACTCCAACAGGGATCCCGACTCGGACTTCGACTCAGACTCAGACTCAGCAATGAAATTGGATTGAAGAGGTTTTTATAAAATGAAAGCTTTTTCAAGAAAAATCTTTATTAAAATTGTCTTTGGAAGAATATCTTACAAGTGGCAACTAACTTAATATTGAACAATGGAACACTATATTTATATATCTATAAAAAAAAAATATTAAAAAGGATCATTATTGCAATTGAACAATGGAGGCAAATATTACAAGTGGTGTCGACATACATAAAAGCGATATATAACTGAAATATGGAAACGATCTTGCCCAGCTTTTTAATTTTATTATATTCATTTTGAAATATATAATAAAATAAGAGAAAGCATTGAAATTAAACATTGAAAGCGAAATTTAATTCTTTGGACTAAGGGAACGATTTTATCCGGCTGTTTAATTTTATTTTAAGAGGAAATCCTAAGGTAGTCATTTGTATATTAATGGGAGTTATAGCATTTGTGTTTCAGTTGCTGGTGCTGTGGAGAAAATCCCAACCTTTTCGCTTAACCCAAAACTAATGTATTCTGTTTTTTTTTTTTCCAATTCCCGCAGGACATTCCACTGCACGTGGCCATGATCTCGCACATCCTGATCGCCTGGGACCGGATGCGCTGGCTAAACGATCCGCTGAAGGGCCGCCTGCCGGGATTCGTCTGCTGCTGCGCCACTTGGCTGACCGGAATGGTGATTGCCCTGCCCTATCCCATATACACCAACTACGTGGAACTGGGGGTGAGTATTCCGAGCACTTGTTACTGTTGCGTTTAATGAAAATCAGCGAACAACCTGGCTGGTTGCCATGGATGATCAAAGCGAGTGCGCACTAGACCGTAAAAGCGGTGCGGAGTCTTCAACATGCCAGGGATTGCCATCCATGGCGTATACTTGATGAGCATCAAGTGACAGATTCCCGGGAATCGGAGACTCATTCACCACCATTCACCTGGTACATCACGAAAATCTGGGCAAATTTCACTGACAGTTCTGCTGGCCGGCTCTTGGACAATATTCCCAGCCAAGGAACGTTAGCATGGCCTGTCAACGAGCTCTGCTTGCATTTTGTTGCCAAAATATTTGGCTACATCGAGTTGTCTAACCTCTGGTCCCCCAAAAATTCTCCCCAAAACCACCTAAAAGTACGGCCACAACGGCAACAAGAGACATAAATATTTATGGGCCATAAAGTGTTGCAACTTTTTGATACACTCCTTTGTGCTGTGTGGGTGTGTAGGTGTAGAAGTGGGTGTGGCTGTGCCTGTGCCTGTGGCTGTGGCTGTGACTAGGGCCCCGCTGGGCTGGCATTGTGTCAAATCATCACTTGCATATATGTATGTACGTATGGGCATTGGCATGCCCCAAACCCACCATTCTGGATACATATTTGGTGAGCTGAATTTCCCAAAAGTGGGACAAGGAATGCCGGAAGAGCCACCATCTAGAATCAAGCATCAAATTTTTGTTTTCAGATAGTTTCATTCTTGAGGGTCACAATTTAAAATGGTTTGTAAACTATTCAGATAAATGTAACAGTATTTTATGAACCTAATTGAGGTATGACGCATTTTTTCAGACTAAATCTAACTATAAAATATAGTTTATTATATTTATAAACTAATATATTAAGCAAGTAAGCATAAGTTTTTGTTGTTTAGATAGTGTCATTCTTGAGGTTCACAATTTAAAATACAATTCAATGTTGTAGTACATATTTAATTATATTGTATCAATCAAATGTTTGTTAATTATTGTCTCGCATTTGTTCGTTAAGGTCGATCGTTTCTGCAATCGGTTACACCCGCGTACCTTTAACCCCTGGAAACTGGCACACAATCCCGAGTTGATTGAACCTTTGCCGGCAATCGTGTGTAATTTATTTGGCAATTCACTGGCCAGACCACAGGACCTGTCACTGCGAGTGGGGCAACAAGTGGAGCCCAGTGCCCCCAGTGCCCTGGGGGAAATCCTGTGGATGCCTACATACCTGCTACAAACTCAGGCCCAGTCGCCTGTCAATAATTTCATTAATTCAATATTTGCGTATAATTTGATGGCTCCTCTCCAAGGCAACTCCCCACGCTGAAAACTCCCTGGCAAAGTGGGGCTTATTATCTCAAAGGCCCCTGTGTTTTTGCGGCAATTTATGAATATTTTAGCATTCTATTACGACGACACACAGGTCCTTGTCTGGCCCAGATATGGGTGTATCAACAATTCCATGCGGACTCTGATTGCCAATTCACAATTTGGCAAACAGCTCCACAAATCCTCCATATTCACATCCACATCCACATTCATATCCACATCCATTCCTCCGTTTAATAAGCAAAAGTTTGCCATAGTTTTCAACCCAGCAGCAGCCAAAAGTCAAACACTAAAATGAATTGCCTCGCCAGCCAGGTTCAGATGGGTTCAGTTCAGTTTTTGGATTGGTTTGCACCCAGTTTGGATCCAGTTTGGATCCAGTTTGGACCCTTACATTCCAGACCTCCGATTTTCAGGTGCGGGTAATAAGCGATTTCATAACTGGCCAGCGAAAAGTTAGCCGTTTGTTTTCGTGTTTGGCCTGGAAAAGTGTCAGAAACTTTAGTCCGCACACAAAACAAATTGAAATTTTCCATATTTCTACGCATGCCCCTTGTGTCTGGCTACCTGGCTAACTGCTAACTGCTAACTGCCTAGCAGCGGCTTCCCTTTGTGCGGCGGCAAATTGATTTTTTAAGTTGTCCCCAAACAAATCAGTATGGAAAAATACCGAAATACACAAAATAAAGAAATCCCTTTGCCTTTGCCTTTACCTTTACCATTAACTTTACCTCCATCAAGTTGGAGGTCCTGTCGCCTGCTGTCGCTGCTCCTGCTGCTCCTTTTTTGCCCACGGTGATAGGAAATATGATGGGGCTTTCTAGTTTCCCGTTCCCAACTACATATTTTGGTTTCATTGTGACATGATGTCCTTGCAGTTTTTAAATCGATGTGATTGTTTGATTTATGCCACCTGACATGTGGTCTTTAATTAAGTTAAGGATTACTTAACCTATTACTTTTATTTATTTGTATTTTTGTGTTTTTTTAATTGGTTACAAAATATTTGGACTTACAATGGTTTTTTACCACTCTACCATTTTGTTATTATGGTGTAAATCTAAAAGTGAAAACTTAATTTAATTTAATTTCTTTCAATAATTTATTGCAATTGCAGTCATTATTTTAAAGCTTTTCATTAAGCTGTCTCATTAAGTTTTGAAAATTTGTGAGTTTTATTATCTTTTAAGGTTCAACCTTCATAAATTCAAATATGAGTAATGGTGGCTCAAATTTGTAGTCTTTTACTTGCCCGCTTGAATAAACCGACATTTATAAGTCTTTCAAATATATTTGCCAAAGCTAAAAAGTTTCTCAAAAGCAGTCTTCTATTTTCGCAATAATGGAAAGTTAAAGTGCCCAGTTGAGAATCTCTGGGGACATTTATGACATGGTTTTGCTGCAGGTTTGAACAGTTTAAACAGTTTAAACAGTTTGCACAGTTTGAAGTTGGTGGCAGTACATTTGAAGTTTGTTTTCGCAGCGTTGTCTCTATTTTGTAGTCCTGTGAGAGGGACCATGGACTTGTGAGTGGCGTAGGAGAAAGTTGAGTGCCCCTTGAACTATGTGGCTTAAATCGTTGTGTATGCAAAGAACACGCCTTTGTTTCGTCCTCAATTCCCCTCCGCCCCCTTTCTATTTGGCTGCCGCTCTGCGGCTACAGTTTATTTATGTTTGCTGTTCAGTTGTTGCTTCCCCCCTTCATGCCCCCGCCCCCCTAAACTGCCTCGTTGCGGATATCCGGTTGCCGGCGTTGACTTTGGCACGCGGCGTCTCCTAATCCCCTCCAGCACTCTGGGTCTCTTGGTCTCTGGATCTCCTCCACCCAAATACCACCCACATTCGGTATTAGCAACAGAACTTGGCCGGATATGCGCCTGCAAAACGAAAACGAAATTACGACAAGAGGCAAGGGGCAAAGGGGAAAGGGGCTGAAAATTCAAGTCACTGCGCAAAAGAAACGGCTAAAGTAAACATTATCAAGTCTACAAAGGCTGGTGGGGATTTGGACGGAATTGGGCTAGTAAGAACCAGGATCTACGAGCTGGGATAACACTCTCAATAGAATCCCTCAACCAAAAGAAACGATTGTGTGATTCTCCAGATCAAAGACATTATTACTTTGAGCACTTGCGCATCTATTCATTTTCGAAAGCTATTAATTAATGTTTTGCATTGTAGATAAGTAATGCATTTTAATATTTCTGAGAGTTATCTGACCCCCTAAATTGGGTGAACGAAAAAAAATATTTGTAGCATCTATTTTTATATATTTTTAAGCTCTCTTTTTTTATTTAGATAGAAGTATTTTTAACCTAGCTGGAAATGTATAAACAATAGATATATAAAAATAATAGTTATAAGGCTAAAATATTTATTGATATGAAATTTAGCTAAAATGCTGAACTATAACTTAGCTACATTTTAAAAATATTTTAATCAATTTTCGACAGCATACATAAGCAGCTTTAGAAGTCTTTGAAAATGGTTTCCATTTTACTCAAGGGCTAAAGAATACCTCTATATTCCTAGGTTTGTGATTGCCATCACGTCCTGGGATACAATGGCATACAGAAGTTGGTAACTTTACTGGGTCCTCCGCCCACCGCCTCCTCGTTCGGCAATTTATCTGGCGTAGAAAGAAAAGTAACTTTAAATACAATCAACTGGCCCCATTTGCCTTGGCTTGGGGCTCGTTGTAACAATTTGTAAAAATTACACATGCACACTCGCCCACACTGAAAGAAATGGGGTGATGGGCGATGGGTGATGGGCGGTGGGCGGTGGGCGATGGGCTGGCGAAAGGGGCTCAAATGAGACTTCCGCTTAAAGCGGAAATCAAATGGTCCTTTGGCCTGGCCATGGTGCTCCTCCTGGGCCTGCTTTGTTCTCATCTCCATCTCCATCGTCATTATTGCATATTATTAGTGTAACTTTGTTAGCAGGCCTCCTCCTCCTTCTTCATTATTATCCCCTTGGCCCAGGATCTCTGTGCTTATTAAATTGCCATTTGCCGGCTCACAACGAGCAATGCAAATTGCTCCGCTGTCGGGCCAAATTAGTTGATGTGTCCAGTCGAATGGGTCGAATAAGTCGAATAAGGACAAGTCTGGCATCTTCATCTTCATCTCCTGCTGCTGCTGCTGCTGCATCGACTGACTGCATCCGCCATTGCCATTGCCATGGGGTTATTCCA